AAACGATCCGCGTTCTATGGAAGTGTTAGCTGAACCGATCCAAGCCAAGTTTTCTTCTTCCAAAGAAAAGGGGCCAAATTTCACTTAAAAGGGAAGGAAAGAAAGAAACTAACCGCAACCACACACTGTGCATCGACGTTACGCGGCACAAGGAATCAAATCGCAGACCTATTTTCGCCTCGTCGGGGAAAAAAAAAAGCGCGCAGGAACATTCGTTCTTTTCCCCGAAAATCGACCGAGATTTACCGATTCGTTTGCAATCGCAGTTTTTAGCGAGTTCAGGGATCAGCGTTCGATCGATGCGAAAGGCGACTTTCAGAGTGATGTATCGTCTTATTTACAGACGAATAAGGGAGAGAAAGAAAGAGAGAAAGAGTGCGAAAGAGAGAGGGTGATAGAGAGAGAGAGAGAGAAATACTTAAAATTGTTACTATATTGTGCCTATCGTACACCGCTGTTTGAAAACTTGGAGAAAGGATCTTGCAATCGAGAAAGAGAACTTTCTTTTGACTCTCCTTTTGGCGATAATTTTTCGCGATTTCACTTGAAGCAGGAAATCAACATACTAACGAATTCGTGATCTAGAAGCTTCTCCGGAGAAGAAAAGAAAAATAGGGAAAGAATCTTTTGAGAAATATAAATCGCGGTTGATAGCTGAAGTTGCTAGTCTGTCTATTTGAGTCTCTTTGAAAATCAACAACTGTCGTCAACTTGACTACTTTTTGCCTGCACTTGTTGTTGTTAATCTAACGTACTATTCTCATGGTTCCTACTCACCGGCAATTCCTAACCGCGGTGTAATAAAACCTGCCGGATTATTTGCATTTCCAGTGGATAAATGATGACGAGACTCTCGTCGAGCCAATTTATATTTTTGAGACTGTAATAAAAAGGTACGAGAATCAACGACACGCGTTCTCCGCTCTGTTTTCTATGAGTTTGCATTTCTCTCAGAGTGTCTGTCAGAGATTGTCCACGCTACTAGAAGAAAAAGAACAAAAACAAAAACAAAAAAAAAGAGAGAGAGAAAAAAAAAACGATCGTAGTTTAATCGTACTAAGATGATTTAATATTCATTGCTATTCTGCGGTGCTATTAGTCAATATTGCTTAACGACGTCGAAACGATTCTGTGCCCGTCGAACACATTCCCAATCGCTTCAAATCTCGTTTTTTCTTTTCCGTACACAATCGAGTCTGAAGTTCCTCTCATTTCGCTCGTTCGTAACCTACGTACTTAATTCTTACTCTAACTCGTTTGTTAATGTTACTTGTTATTTGCTTCGAATCATTCCACACCATAGAAATGGTGTTTGCTCCGAATAGCTCCAGCTTCATTCAGTTACTTCGATCCACCGTCTGAAGATTTTATTGCTCGCTAGAGATAAGTGTTATTGAAATACATACTTATCAGGTTTCGTGAACCGTACTAGAAAGAATTATACGTTACAAAACGCTTGTATCGTCATTAAGAAGACGCCGGAAGAAAAGCATCATGATTGGTCTCGTCGACGAAGAGCAACAGGAAATTTCTGACCAGATTTGTTGATGAAGATGTTAACGTTAAGGAACGGAGGTGGGCAAATCTATCTTTTCGTTGTTCGTTTGTTAGGAAAAAAAAAAAAAAAAAA